ACGGGCGCGATGCCGGGAGCTGCGGCATGGCACACGCACACACACGTGCACGCATGCTCCAGCCCCGCTGAGCACAACCTTTGTACCACGTTCCCTTTCCTGCCAAACCCTTCCAATCGCTAAAATAATGACTATCAAAAGCAATCCCACCTCCCAGCCCACCTTCCCCCCCGCTCCCCGTCGCCCTGCTCCCTGCTGAGGAATAAAAGGCCGCAGGCTGGCAAGCGGCAGCAGATAATTGATTTTAGCGGTGGGGGCGGGGGGAGACGGGCAATTTGGGTTTGCATGTGATCTTTAGGAGAAGAGGCGAGCGGCGGGGTGTGGAGGGATGGGGCTGGAGCCCCGGCAGAGCCAGCAGCCCACGCGCCCAGCACCGCCGCGCAGAGCATCGCTCGTGGCACGTGCCGAGCGGGAGCCGGGGGAACAGCATCCCAGTGCTTCCCAGCCTCCCCGGCCTGCCATTTAATCCTGGCTGCTGGAAGAGCTCAGCTATTAACAACTCTGTAGTCTGGGAGGGATTAATTGGAAAGCGGGGGAGAAATGCTTCATATCCAGCTTGCCGTAGGTGGGGGAGACCAGAGCCACTGCCAGCCCCACGGTGCTGCTCTCCCCATCCCACCGGGAACCCTGCACTGCCCAGGGGCTCCTGTGGGTCCCTGCCACACAAATTTCCTCTTTTTTTCCTAAAGACGTGTGCTGCTTTTGCAGTGCCCACAGCCGCTCGCTTGTCCATTTACTGGAGCTAAACCGAAGAGCGGGCACGGGGGAGCCATGGGAAGCGGGATGAGGCAGCTGGGGATGCGATTTCCTGCACTGGCAGAGCACAGGGTTTCACACCTCTGGCTGCATTTGTGACTTTTGGTTTCTCCAGACCCATTTAACAGAAACCAAATGTCTATTCGTGCTCCCTGAAGCACCAGTGAAACCCCATGAGCCCGGAGGGTGGTGGGCACACAAGGTGCTGGGTGCGGGTGCAGGACACCCAGGAGCACAGCATGTACTCCATAGCCCTGTCCCAGTGTCCGTTGGGTCCTTCAGGGCATCTGCACTGGCCAGAACCTCCCCACATTTAGTGTTTGATCTTGTTGGGCATTTCACAGCAGCCAGGCTCTGCTCCCTGTGCCACACTGCTCCCGTGCTCCCAGCCCAATTGTGGGATGTTCCCAGTCTGGGTGAAAAATCCCCCACTGGCTCTGTATCTATCTGGCATTTCCTTCCCTGAAAACAGCCATCCCCCCTGCACCAGGAGCTCGCAGGGCAGCGCGGGCAGCACAGGGGGTTCCAGGCAGGGAGCTCAGCCCCATCTTGGTGCAAGAAATCCCTTTGGAAGGAGTCGTGTCCTGTTCCTCAGCCGTGGGCAGTGACACAGGTCCCTTCCCTACCGGATGGGGCTGACCCATCCCCAGTGGCAGATGGGGATTCCCATCTCTTCCTGGCTTGGAGATGAGGCATTCACCCCAGACGGGACAGCATATCCTAATTTTAGCACTGGACAGGTACATCACCGGCAGGGCCATGGGTAGGGACTGTGTTCGTGCCCCGCTCCGGATG